TGCCACAACTCCCCCAAACATGCAATCGAATTTCTCTTGCAGCGCAGGGTCAATGTCACTGAATTTAAATTTTTTTGCACTTGACACCATCTACAAAAAAATGGGAGATGGATATGTTGATGTATTTGAAAAAAAAATGATAAAATGATCATTTGATCATTTTTCATTTCCAATCTCTCGGCCCATCATTCTTATGAAACATCAATTGTTTGCTTTATCGGATCCTAAACCAAGCCTGCGGATCCTCGTTTCGATTCTTTCTAAAATTTACAGTCCTTTAATTGATCTTATATGTTTTTCAATTGCATCCTAGCATATACCCTTTCTGTATTTTCCTTGAACTTTTTTATAATATTTTGTCTGCCCACTTTGTTAAAATAGGTTGTGGGCCTATTTCCCATATCCGCCTTCTTAAGGCAGAGGTCGTAAATATTAGTTTGGTTCTTTATCCATCATAGCAGATGAATTGCTCTCTTTTGTCTTAACCATTATGTTACTAGCATAAAAAAAATTAAATAACATAAATATTTGCCATAAAAATAATTACCACAACTTAAAGAAATATAGCATTGTCATAATATCATTACCACTGCCTCCACACCAACACACACACCACACACCACCACCTCCACACCTCACCACACCCCACCATCACCACCACCTCCACACCACACCCCAACACATTCACACACCACCACCTCCACACACAATACCACACACCACACACCACACACCACACACCTACACATTCACACACCACACAACAACACATTCATACACCACATCACCACCAACACACCACCACCAACACACCACCACCTCCACATCTCACACCACCTCCTCCACATCTCACACCACTTCCACACACCACCTCCACATCTCACACCACCTCCTCCACATCTCACACCACTTCCACACCACACAACTGCCTACACACCACCTCCACACCGCATACCATTACCTCTACACCACAAACCATCACCTCCACCTCCACACCACAAAATCCATCATTTTGGGAAACCACCACCAACTAAAGCATTATAGCACAACCACAAAACCTATTTGTATTTCAATTAATTTCCACATGCAATCACCACCACCACCACCAAATTTCGGGCAACAACTAACATCACAACACAATCATCCAAATCCATCAACCGGATAGAACATAGAGAAGCTAGACAATCAAATCGAATATAGCATAAAGAGTCCAACAAAATCACAAAATCCAACATCACAACACAACCATCCAAATCTATAAACCGAATAAATATAGAGAACCCAAATCCATCAACTAAATATAGCACATAGAACCCAAATCATTAACCGAGTAGAGTTCAGAGAACCCAATAAATCTCAAAATTCAACATCACAACACAACAATCCAAAAACTATTGACTGATTAGAGCAAAAAGAACTCAAATCATTAACCGAATAGAGCACAAAGAACCTGAATTTTTATTGCAAAATCAAAATGCTCGAATAGATAATGGTAGAGAATACTGTGGGGCGACGAAAATCCAATGATCCAAATTGAGCCTAGGAATAGATCTCCCCCTTTCTTCTCTTGTTTATACCTTCTTGTTTTATGCAAGATGCAAGCATGCGGGGCAATTCTACAAATATTTTACCACAACAAATTACCTTTTTTATGGTATAACTTTTAGGTTTCAAGAATGAGCTCCATTGCCCTTTTTCTTTTCAATATCTTTTTTAACATCATGAGTTATAGGTCCCCATCTCCTCCAACGCTCCTTTTCAGGGTTACATGAAAGTTTTGCTGATTGGTCGATTTTTCAAATTATACTGTTGGTTCCATGTAGAGAGGTGCTGTCAAATTTTGTCATGGATATCTCAACTTGGAGAAATTCTCCATTTATGAGGAGTTGGAAGAAGTATATACGTGAAGCAAATGTCAAATGCTAAAAGCTAAAATACACAAACTTAGACTCATGCTAGGTCTCCTTATTATCATCAAAGGCTCCATTGTAGAACAAGAATGGATGCTTTTTACCGACTTGGTTAAGAGGATGGTAGAGGACGACTACCCTCAACTCTTTTTGGTTCAAGAAGGTATAAATAGCATGAAGATTTAACAAATACAACAGTTGCGCCTTTTTAGATGCTATGATATATACGCCCTCGTCATTGTATATCACAAAATTTAAACCAATAAACTGGGAGCTTGTGTGTGTGTGCATGCCTTGCACTAGCTTACATAGAATTAATTAAAATTTAAAACCCAAGCATAGGTGAATATACTCTAGTTGCATTGTATCCATACCAAATTTAAAGAAGTGCAAAAGCTTGGGCATCTATATAATGTCCCCTATTGTAGAACTTGGGCATGTATACATGTCATTTGAGCACATTTATGACCCATGTGCCTTATAAGCTCAATCAATCTTAGCTTGGCTATGCTCACAACTTCTCCTGTGGTTGCACAATAAATTTCCAGATATTTTAGAAAATTGTATGAACACTTAAAATGCCACGGATGTTCTAGGGCTAAATAATTTTCGGGTTCATAGAAAATTTTAAACTTTGCATAATACTCCCAAGTTTTCATATTTTCATACACGATAGAAACATAAAAAAAAAATATAAAGTTTATCTTTTCTAAAAAGTAAAATTACCTCAGAGATCATGTGAAGTAGGGAACTGTGATAAAAGATAGGTAAAAATGACTAGGGAATCACTGCGACATTCATGTTGAATCCGGTCTTTTTCAACAATAAGGTTTGCAATATTGATAAAGTGATGCTTAAATATGAAGTGTTACATCCCTTCTTAATCTGCATTAGATAATTATTTTGTTATGGACATGAACCCATAAACCTATTGCAGTCGGTTAGGTTTGTGTACATACCCTAAATTGCCACATAGTAACCTAATAATTATAGGTGGCAACTTAAGGAGAGGAAATGATCATAATTCGTCACAACAGTGATTAATATCTAAGTAGTTTTATGGTGAACATAAAGTTGTCTGGTAAAATGAGATTATGAATTGCTATTAACTTAATATCATGCTTATTAAAAATATCAATTGATGTTTTTGTATATTTTCTATTTTTAATTAATACATTTTGGATAGATGATACCTGTATGAAGTAATTAAAAAGTTGAAGCAATTGAGAAAATTTTTAAATAAAAGGAATTTGGATTAGAATTACCAAGTTCGATTATAATATGTTATTTTAATAGTTATAATATTGATAGTTGCTTGTCAATATTATTGGAAGAGCAAGTTTTTTTAGTGTATTAGACTCAAATATTTGAATTTTATATAGAAAAGAATAAGGTCATAAGGACATAATTTCTAGAGCTAAATTTTGGTGATTTGAATTTGTACATGCTCTAGAAGTAAAAAGGATCTTATTGGAAACTCACAGATAAATTTTAATGTACTATAATGAGAATAATTTTATTAATATAGAATAGGATGTTTTTAATGAAAAAAGGCATTATTTTTTGTGGGAAAATGAAACTTTTGGTATAGAATTTCCATAGAACTGAGAAGAATAGGTGAAATGCAATATTAATATGGTAGGAAAAACACTTTTTTAATAGGAAGAAAAAAAATAAACTTTCATTATTTTTGCATACTCAATTGAAAACAAAAAAAAAAATCTACCATTAAGAGACCTTAAAAGAATTGTGAAAGAATAACAAAATGGGAACGACCAACTAAAGTTGTGCAATTTTGAGTCATGTAGCAAGGAATGCATGGATAATGCTTATATGGCTACTGAAGATTATGATGATTGTGCAGGAGATTGTTACTATATAGGATTTTTATTTCCTAGATGTTTCTGCAGAAATGCCTAGAGGAATATTCAACTGTCATATTGACATTGTTTTTGGCTACTCACATAATTTTCACTTCTGTAACATAGGAAAATAAAGGGGAAAAATCGAACTTATGAAAATTACAAACCAGAGTGAAACAGTAAATTAGAAACTGAATCGAGGAACTCATCTCTCTCTCACTCATTAACCTCTCTCTCTTGCACAGTTTTGCTGATATTTATTTTTCAACGCTACTCAATTTTACTTTCTTTTCATACTACTATACCATTTTGAACAAACTCCTTGTACCAAATAAATCTAGTACTTATTTGATGTCTGATGTGCAGGTATCATAACAATTTTGAAGCAAGAATGAATAGTTTATACAAAATAGTGCATGACTTTGATGCAAATTTAGAGAGTTAAAATATCACTAGTTCATTGATGCAATGCAAAGATTATTCTAGATTATTCAAGTACTTTAGATTATTAGATTTTATTTTAGTTTTATTGTACTTAATTGGCAATATTATCTTTATTTTAACCAAGATGATGATATTTTTAATACAAGTCAAACGTTGAAATTAAATTATTGTGGTTTATCATGTAATCTGTTTCTATAAATCAGGGTTGTTTTAAGGGCTTAATGCTAATGGTATATTGATTATGAATGAAACTAGTAAGATTCATTCTCTTTTTTATCCTCTATAAAGTACTGGATGGAATTTCTCTTGAAAAAATAAAAATTTCGACTTCTCTTTCTCTCTTCATAATAAAAGAAAGAATTTTTGTCTCCCTCTCATAGACAAGTACCAAGGTGCTCTCTCCATTCAATGAAGACACATTTCAAGGCAGAATAATGTATATTCAGGTCTACTTGAAAGTCATAGGATTTAGAAAGTTGATAATTAACAATTGCCTGTGTTGAGCAAAACAGAGGCTGTAAATAAAAATTATGTATATATGTTTAATCAAGCCACTATAAAGCCAAGCATGATAGAACAAGGTATTGTTTATATTCAAATATTGTAGCTTTAAAAAAAGTCGAACTCAAGATAATTATGAAGCCGAACATGATGGGACACGGACAATGAGCTTTCTTTACAACCATATTTGTATGTTTTCTTTGCACTTATAATTTTTCTTGTGTTTCAGTCTTCAATTTCAATCTTTTCTATAAATATAATTCTGACAACACCAAATCTCTAGGACACAGGGTTTCCTAGCACTCTTCACAGGAGACACCGGAGAAATCCGAGCTGAGGTAAGAGAGCAAATTGATACGAAAGTAGCAGAATGGAGGGAAGAAGGGAAGGCCGAAATAGTACCCGGTGTTCTCTTCATCGACGAGGTCCACATGCTCGACATCGAATGCTTCTCCTTCCTCAACCGTGCTTTGGAGAACGAAATGGCTCCGATTCTCGTCATCGCTACGAACCGAGGGATCACAACCATCCGCGGCACAAATTATCGTTCGCCTCATGGAATACCCGCCGATTTTCTCGATCGCCTCCTCATCATATCGACCCAACCATACTCCAAAGAAGAGATTCATAAGATCATCGAAATCAGATGCGACGAGGAAGAAGTGGAAATGTCGAAGGACTCAAAAGTGTTGTTGACGAAGATTGGCACGGAGACGTCTTTGAGATATGCAATCCATTTGATCACAGTCGCGGCTCTCGCCTGCCAGAAGCGAAAGGGAAAGGTGGTTGAGATGGAGGATATCAGTCGAGTTTATTCGTTGTTTCTCGACGTGAAGAGATCGACACAGTATTTAATGGAATATCAGAGCCAGTATTTGTTCAGTGAAATTCCCGGCGGGGTTGATGATGAAGATGCCATGAATTTGTGAGATTGGAGGGAAGAAGGTTTTGTTGTTGTTTTCTAAACTAGACTTCAATGTCTATGATTTAAGTACACCCCACTACCTATGTATGAAGTTTGGTGGTGAGTCTGAGTTATGAAATTCCTTCTTTTTGTTGTATTATTTAAGGCCTTCATAGAAGACTAGTGCAAATGGTGTCATTTTTCTAAGATTTTAAAATTTTTGGACTATTTTAAAGCCAATTTTGTAATTCAGTGATTGATATAATTTAGTAGTTTATTCAACGTTCCATAGCTCATGCTTTTAATTTTTTATTATTCGAGCCTTCTGAGAAACTGAATCAATTGATACTACTTTTTGAAGATTTTAAGAACTTTGGGCTAATTTTAAAGCAGATTTCTCTGGTTGAAATAATTTGCATATTATTGTTGTGTGCCTTTTGTGTAGCATGTACATGTCTGAAATACTATTTAACTCTTATATATATATAT